AACAATTACTTGGATGATAAACATCATAAAAACATTTAAAGCATATAAATTTTCTACAGTTTGCACAATGAATAAATGAAGGAGTATCACATACACATTTATTTTTCCATAAGTCCGGAGGAAAACATATTTCGTTGACGTTTCGAAACACATTTCTTTCAGGAATTAATTTTGATGCAAACCAAGCATACTTGATCATATCTGTAAAAGCTCCCGATGATAATTGTGAATGAATTAAAGAATGAATCTTTATTGCGTCTTCTCGCGAAGAGAGCTGCCGGTTTTGTTGTAAAACTTCAACAGAATTTTGGATTCTTCGGATGAAGTTTTTCACTTGTCGAAAAAAGTACACATCGCATGGTTGGCAGTACGGCGTGCAATAACCTTCTGCGCAACTCGATGCTCGACGCTTGCATGTAACTGCACCTTAACAGTCGTCACTACGTAACGGGGATGACAAAACATGAAAGAATTTCGGCTTTATAACCGACTACATACCTGCAAGGGGATTAAAAACCTTTCGTTCATTTATCATTTTGTATCCGCTTCTTTTACCGGTTTTAAATTTAAACAATTTGAAAATTTAGATACGTTGCCTTTATATGTTATCGATTACAAATAACTTATATATTATTATTATTACTTATTTATTATTTCAAATATTATTACTTGAATTAAAATTCCCTTAAAATTAAATTTAAATTAATGTTTAGAATGTGATATTAAATTAAATTTTCTATTTCAAAAATTGGCATACTATATCAATATCATAAAAATAAATAAAAATAAGTAAAAACACTCATTAAAAAAAAAAATTAATGCACACCTCCGGGAGCGAACTTGGATCTTATGAATTATGAAGCAAGCACTTAACTCACGAAGCCAACTGCACTGGTTGGAAGTACAGTTACCGGGAAGGTTCATATGGCGCGCCGCGGTGCGCTTCGGATATGGCCAATTTTCACAAATTTATTACTCCGAAACTAAGACCTATTCTATCAAATGCCGGGACACATATCTTTTTTTTTCATCTCCAGAATAATTAAAAAAATTGGGATCGAAATCCCAGGGTGAGTCACCTGGTCCTCCCCTTGTGACTAAAATCAATCAAAAAATATTTAATTGA